TCGATATTTAGAATTTCTAAACTGGATAAAATTTGTCAAAACGGTTAAAATTTGACACAATCGATATAATAGCACCTATAAAGTATCAGTACCTAAGAAACATGTATCGATACATCACAATATGACATGTTCAAAATTGACAAAACTAGTTTCAATATAAATAACTTAACAGGTAAAAAATTTACAAAATCAGTTTTCATAATTGTCCCGATAAAGTATCGATACACGTATGAAAAGTATCGATTCTTAAAACTTTGAAACCGATTACTTTAAAGTAATAGGTAAATTTACAATGTAAGCTATAAAAATATATTTGTTTAATGACAAAATACGTTTACATAAAGTATCGATACTTTTGGTATATGTATCGATCCTTTTTGTCTAGTATGCTTCCCAAACTAGATGCACGTAGAAAGTATCGATACCTATGACACATGTATCGATACATGATAATATAACAGGTTAAAAATTAATAAAAATCGATTTCAATATGACAAAACCGGTAAATAGCTATCAGTTTTAAAAAAATGAAATGTCTCGAAATTATTGATACCGTACACAAAAATATCGATACTTTAGTAAGGGTAATGGTATCGATTAAATATAAATAACATAGCAGGTTCATCTTTTTGACAAAACCGGTTTCCATAATTACCCTTATAAAGTATCGATACACGTATGAAAAGTATCGATTCTTAAAAAATCAAAATCGATTACTTTAAAGTAATAGGTAAATTTACAATGTAAGATGTAAAAATATATCGATTTAATGATAAAATACGTTTACATAAAGTGTCGATACTTTAAGTATATGTATCGATACTTTTTTGTCCAGTATGCTTCCCAAACTAGATGAACGTATGAAGTATCGATACCTATGACACATGTATCGATACATGACAATATAACATGTTAAAAATTGATAAAACCGATTTCAATATGACAAAACCGGTAAATAGCTACCTGTTTTGAAAAAAAACGAAACGTCTCGAAAGTATCAATACCGTACACAAAAGTATCGATACTTAGGTAAGGGTAATGGTATCGATTAAATATAAATAATATAACAGGTTCATCTTTTTGACAAAATCAGTTTCTATAATTGCGCCTATAAAGTATCGATACACGTATGAAAAGTACAAATTCTTAAAAATTCAAAACCAATTACTTTAAAGTAATAGGTAAATTTACAATGTAATTTATAAAAATATATCGGTTTAATGAAAAAATATGTTTACATAAAGTATCAATACTTTTGGTATATGTATCAATAATGTTTTGTCCAGTATGCTTCCCAAACTAGATGCACGTACGAAGTATCGATACCTATGACACATGTTTCGATACATGACAATATAAAAGGTTAAAATTTGATAAAAAACTGATAAATAGTTACCAGTTTTGAAAAAAAATAAAACGTCTCGAATGTATCGATACCGTACACAAAAGTATCGATACTTAGGTAAGGGTAATGATATTAATTAAAAATAACATATCAGGTTCATCTTTTTGACAAAATCGGTTTCCATAATTGCACCTATAAAGTATCGATACATGTATGAAAAGTATCGATTCTTAAAACTTCAAAACCGATTACTTTAAAGTAATAGGTAAATTTACAATGTAAGCTGTAAAAATATACAGGTTTAATGACAAAATATGTTTACATAAAGTATCGATACTTCTTGTCCAGTATGCTTCCCAAACTAGATGCACGTACGAATTATACATGACAATATAAAAGGTTAAAAATTGATAAAACCCAATTTCAATGTGACAAAACCGGTAATAGCTACCAGTTTTGAAAAAAATGAAACATCTCGAAAGTATTGATACCGTACACAAAAGTATCGATACTTCAGTAAGAGTATCAATATAAATAGCATATTTGGTTACAAAGGAAACCATAATTCAGAGAAATATATAGAAGATAGTCGTAGTTTTAGAGATCGAGGGAAGTTAGTTGTTGTGAAATAGTAGTGGCTCATTTTTGGAAGTGTAGTTGTTTATTTGTTGATGCAATCGAATCGAAAGGTATCTTGTCAAAACCCTACTTTTTTAGTATTACAATATTCAGAAATAGGGGTTAGGTTTTTTAGTTTGGTGTTTTCGAATTAAATAAGCATTTATTCGCGAAGATGATGACCTTGAAATGGAGCCCGAGAGTATAAACATTGAAGAAAATTGAAAGCAACCATTGTATGGATATATATACTTCCAGTAAGTATCAATGTATTCATGTAATTGTTCTTGAAATGGTAATTAGATTAAAATATTTAAGAACTTTTAATTGATTACAAATTTCAAATCTTGACAGTATGACTTAATGCGAAAGGATGTAGGAAGCTGATAATAATGTTGAATGCATAGCCAATAAAACCCGGAGGGCAGGGTCCAAATGGTAAGCCATGAATTGGTAAGACAAGCTTCCTTTGAAGGTTTGGGGACTCAACCCCTCCAAGGTAAGGACTGCATGATTGAACATTAAATACAATAGTTGTATTCAATTCTTTAATTGTTCTTCATTGTATATAAGGATATTCCAAATTATATATGTTCACGTTTTGAAACCAATAAGTTAGATGTATGCAGTACCCTATATTCTCGAGGCAAAGGACAAGAAATCTAACACTTAAAGATTTACCAAGAACGGTAGCTTCTGCTCTGCATGAAGACCGAACCTAGAATCAACTTTGCCATTATACCTATACTGCTAAAGAGAACCTGCTGAATGATAGAATTTTCACACAACTACGAGCATTTTATTAGAAACCCTAAATAATCCGCTAAAATTCTGCAACAGAGATGTCTGGGGTAACCCATACTTGGGGTTTCCTATAAAATGCTTGTAGTTATGTGCAAATCCTTTCATTCAACAGGATCTATTGAGCAGTATATGCATAATGACGAAGTTGATTCTAGGTTAGGTCTTTATGCAGAGCAGAAGCTACCGCTCTTGGTAAATCTTTAAGTGATAGATTTCTTGTCCTCTGCCTCAAGGATATAGGGTACTGCATGCATCTAACTAATTGGTTTCGAAATGTGAACGGATATCATTACAACTATCCTTATATACAATGAAGAACAATTCTTCAAGAACTGAATAAAACTATTATATGTAATGTTCAATCATGCACTCCTTACGTGGGAGGGGTTCAATCCCTAAACCCTCAAAGGAAGCTTATCTTACCAATTCTTATCTTACCATTTGGACCCTACAAGGGGGTTTTATTAGGCTATACAGTCAACATGATTAACCTTGATTAATCCCAACAACATAACTGATTTCATCCATGACTTGCGGGAGACTCTATTCTACAGACTGTTTGGCAAGGTTCAAGTACACGATACAAGGGAGCATTTGGAAAGGTCCAAGTATCGATACCTTTTTTACCTCTTTCAAGTGCATTGTAGATGTCTTTATGTGTAAATCCAACATTCTGATAACCCATATATAAAGAGTTTTGTAGAAATAATAGTTAAATTTACAAGGTACACAGTAAATTATACTGGTATAATGATAATAGTGTAAACTTTTATATATGTATCAATACTTTGTTATATCAGTCTCGATACTTTAATTCCACATAAAGGCTCAAACAAACTGCACGCAAAATGTATCAATACATATATATATATATATATTTCATACTTATAATTTCTAAACATATTACTTTTAACTAATAAGTTAATTAACAATGAAAACGATTAAAGTCAATCGATATCATGATAATATGAGTAAACAATGTACATGGTAATATGTTGATAAAGCTTGATAACAAATCAAGTAATTAACTAGTTATGTTATCGTCGGATTCCTAAGGCTCCATCAGCTTAAATTTTTTTAACATTTTAGGTGTTACCTAATATGTTGATAATACTGGTAACAAATTAAGTAATTAACCTATTTTGTTATTGTCAAATTTCTAAGGCCCCATCAGCTTTAATAATTCGCTACCTATTACGTTACATAAGCGCTACCTAATATGTTATTATGCTTGATAATGTTTATAGTAATTAATCGGTTATGTTATCGTCAGATTTCTAAGGCTCTATCAGCTTAAACATTGGTAACATTTTAGTCGTTACCTAATATGTTGATAATACTAATAACAAATTAAGTAATTAACCTATTTTGTTATCGTCGGATTTCTAAAGCCCCATCAGCTTTAAAAAAAGCATTGCATATTACGTTATATAAGCGCTACCTAATATGTTATTATGCTTGATAATGTTTCCAGTAATTAATCGGTTATGTTATCGTCGGATTTCTAAGGCTCTATCAGCTTAAACATTGGTAACATTTTAGGCGTTACCTAATATGTTGATAATACTAATAACAAATTAAGTAATTAACCTATTTTATTATCGTCGGGTTTTTAAAGCCCCATCATCTTTAAAAAGACGTTACATATTACATTATATAAGCGCTACCTAATATGTTATTATGCTTGATAATATTTCCCGTAATTAACTGGTTATGTTATCGTCTAAGTTTCCAAAGCCCCATCAGCTTTAAAACCGCAACCTATTACGTTATATAAGCGCTACCTAATATGTTATTATGCTTGATAATGTTTCTAGTAATTAACAGGTTATGTTATCGTCTATATTTTTTGGTGCATTTTGCATAGGACGATAACATAACCGGTTATTACTGTTTTTATTACCAACTCAAATAATATTTCCGGTTAAATCATGTAACATTTCCAGTATAGATTTGGACCAATCACTTGTTTAACCAGTCACACCGTTTTTTAATCGTATTTTAACTGCCTCACAGTAGAACCTCCCAATAAAAAGCTTGGACTTCAAGTAGGATAAATCACACAATAATTCAATAGTTTAGTTCAAATAATTATTTTGATCATTGACTCAAATAATTATTCTGTGTATTGAAATTTTTAAAATTTATTTTTTATTAAATTTATAAAATAATTATTAATTTTTTTATTTATTATAAAATGACAAAAAAATTGGTAAAGAAAAAAACTAAACCATCAGGCCGACAAGCCTGAATCTAGTTGCAATAACGGGAGCACTTCATCAGGAGGATAGCTGAATGTACAAACACCGGCATTCCCCTGGACGGCGAGCTTCGCCAAACAATCTGCCACTCCATTTCCCTCACGAGCGACGTACTGGAACTGCACACTCCAATCGATGTACTGGAACTGCACACTCCAATCGAATTGAAGCATTTCAACCACATGAACTAGGATGGTTAAACGATGATTCCCTGTTCTCGCCATACGAATTGCTTCGAGAGCCTCCAAACTATCAACTTCAATGATAACCCGTCTTTCACCCAAGTCCCAAGCAAGCGAAACCCCCAATAAATGCCCCATAGTTCCGCAATGAAATTAGGAAAACCAAGTCTCCATTCACCATCGTGAGCTCGAAGAACTTCCCCACACAGCGGCTGGCCTGACGTCGTCTCATGACCTCCATCGGTATTGATTTAATAATTACAGTTATATATATATTATATATATATATATATATATATATATATATATATATATATATATATATTAATTATTATAATATAATAACAACAATTTTATAATTGTTTGATAAATTTAATAATTAAAAATATATTTTAAAAAGTGTGTTTTACATGACACATCTAACATTTTTCTCTCATGTAACTCAAAAAGAGAAGAAGGCGTATTTTATAAAATATGTTTTCTTAGATTTTATTATTTTTGCTTTTTAATTTATGGGTTAGGGTTGGATAATTTTAAGGCTTTAGGTTTACTGTTCTATTTTTAGGGTTTTTAAGGTATGGACATTTGGAGTGTTTTGTTGTGTTAGAGAACAACAATTTAAGGTTCGCGGATTATTTTTTTTTAATTGAAATGACAAAAAGATTAGCTAACGCCTATCTTCACCAAATTGAACAGAGGAGCTGCAGGCATCCTTTGAAAGCAGGTCAAGGATTGACGCCGGTGGAGTATCAAAAGTATTAAGGCCGAGCTGAAGCGGAGCAGCTTGTCTGAAGAGAGAGTCTGCTGGAAGGTTAACCTCACGAGCATTAGAACTAGAACGAGCGTCCGGGGAGTTGATGAGAAATATCGCAACTGAACAATCGGATTGGACTTAAAGGATCTCAAAGCCAAGAGACTATCCGAGTTTCAGACCTTCATAGATTGACCATAATTCAGCTTGCAACGGGTTTGTAATACCAACGTATCGGGAGAACACTGTTATAAAATCACCATTAGCATCACGGAATAAGCCTCCGATTGAGCTTCTCACCAGTGGTTTGTGGACTGCTCCATCAATGTTGAGTGCAATCCATCCATTGGGGGCTTCGGCCAGACGGGGCAGTGGGCATGGGGCTTGCTGGAGTCAGAATTTGAAGGCAACCAGTTTTGGTAGAAATGGAGAGCCCAAATGCTGCTTCGCTGAATGATCTCAGTCGTGGAGCTATTAACTGAATTGAACACAAAATCATTGCGACTTTTCCAGATTTGCCATATTAAGGAGGCAAAGAGAAGGTTCCACGGGAAAGAAGAATTATTGTTCATCATCGGTTGCAGCTGGATGGAGATAAGGTTGGTTACCAGCCAATCCCGGATGTCTGTACTCCAAAAATCAGCGATGCGTGCAGATACATTGAAGTGCTGCCATATACTTTCGGCGTGCGTACAATCACGGAGGACATGGATAGTTGATTCGTGATATAAGGCACAGGGCATGCAAGAAGTATTGAAATGTCAAAGCATGGGCGGCTAGAAATTGGTCCAAATTAGACACCGAATATATAATGTCAAAATTAGGTGTAAAAATAGTTGAAAATTAAATGTGCAAATTACAAATTTTAGTCATTAAACTTTAGGGTATTTATAAGATTAGTCCTTAAGCTTCAACTATAAATACCCTAGCTCATTTAGCTTCAAAACCATCCCAAATCATTCTAGTTTTCTCCCAATACTAGAGAATTTAGAGAGTTTCTTGAGAGTTATTTTCTCCTATTTATCAAGAGAGAAGTATCATTGTTTTCTCCTTGGTAGATCGAGAGAAGTTGTAATTCCTATTTTCTCATAGTGAAATTCTTCTACCGTTGCTCGTGGTTTTTACCCTATATTATTTAGGGGTTTTCCACGTAAATTTTGTGTCTTCTTTATTTATATTTTTATTTTCTCAAATTATTAGTTGCGATTTTGCTCTATCCGATAGCCGTATTTCGCAACAATTGGTATCAGAGCCAGATTAGAGTGTGTAATATCTACTTATTGTATTTGTGGTTGCCACCAAAAGGTGGATCCTCCAACATAAGAAAGTAAGAAGGTATTACCCATTCTTTGAAGGTTCCAGAGAACTATTCACGATAGTGAAATAGTGGGAGTTATCCGTAATAGAAGCTATGACAACAAAATTTGATATTGAAAAATTCAATAGGAGAAATTTCTCATTCTGGAAATTGAAGATGAAGGTCATCCCGAGGAAAGAAGGTTGTCTAGTAGCTATCAGTGAAAGACTGGTAGATTTTATAGATGACAACAAATGGATCGAAATGGACGGGAATGCTATGGCAAACTTTCATCTAGAATTAGCAGATGAAGTATTGTCAAGCATCGAGGAGAAGAATACAACTAAGGAGATATGTGATCATCTCACCAAATTGTACGATGCCACATCGTTGCACAATAAAATTTTTCTTAAGAGGAAATTGTACACTCTCTGGATGTCAGAATCTACTTCAGTGACGGAACACTTAAACACGTTGAACACTTTATTTTCTCAGCTTACATCCTTAAGCTGTAAAATAGGAGAACAATAACGTGTTGAACTTCTACTTCAAAGTCTATCAAATTCGAATGATCAACTCATCATCAACTTGACAAACAGTAATGTCACCAGTCTAGTCTTCGATGACGTTGCAGCTGCTGTTCTACAAGAAGAAAATCGGCGCAAGAACAAGGAAGACAGACAAGTAAATCTGCAAGAAGCAGAAGCGTTGACAACTATGAGAGAGAGATCAACAGAACGTGGCCAAAGTAGCAGTCACAAACATGGTAGATCAAAGTCGAGAAGCAATAAGAATTTAAAGTGCTACAACTATGGAAAGAAGGGCCACTTGAATAAGGATTGTTATAGTCTAAATAAAAACTTCAATACACAAGGCAATACCGCAAACACTTCAAATGATGGAGATGTTCTATGTTGTGAAGCGTCAACCACCATGGAAGGTAAAAAAATATTTGCATATATATGGCTCATTGATTCGGGAGCAACATATCACATGACCTCAAGAAGAAAATGGTTCCATCATTATGAACCTATCTCAGGAGGATCTGTGTATAGTTGCAATGATCATGCCTTAGAGATCATTGGCGTGTGAACTATCAAATTGAAGATGCATGATGGAACAATTAAAGTTGTTTGAGATGTACAGCACGTGAAAGGCCTGAAGAAAAATTTATTATTCTATAGATTGTTGATAATAATGCAAACAAGATTGAAACACGGAAAGGAATCATGAAGGTGTTTCGTAGAGCGCTTGTGGTACTGAAAGGCGAAAAGATAGCAACAAACAAGGAATGAAAGTCCTTGCGAAGCAAAAGCTACTTCCAGGCTTAACAAAGTTATCACTTACTTTGTGTGAGCATTGCATAACAAGTAAACAGCACCGGTTGAAATTCAACACATCAAATTATAAAGGCAAAAGTGTTCTAGAATTGGTTCACTCTGACTTATGGCCAGCACCAGTTACATCCCTAGTTGGAGCAAAATACTTAGTCTCATTTACTGATGACTACTCCAGGAGATGTTGGGTGTACACTATTAAGAAGAAGTCAGACGTGTTTTCAACTTTCAAAAAATTCAAAGCGCGGGTGGAACTTGATTCTGGGAATAAGATCAAGTGTTTCAAAACAGATAATGGAGGAGAATACACAAGTGAAGAATTTGATGACTTTTGCATGAAAGAATGCATCAAAAGACAGTTTACAGTGGCGAACACTCCTCAACAAAATGGAGTGGAAGAGCGGATGAACAGAACCTTGTTAGAAAGAACAAGAGCAATGTTGAGGGATGCAGACCTAGAAAACTCACTATGGGAAGAAGCAGTCAATATCGCATGTTATTTGGTGAATCGAGCTCCATCAATTGCAATAGAGATGAAGACACTAATGGAGATGTAGACTGGTAAACCAACTGATTATTCAAACCTCCATGTATTTGGAAGTATTGTGTACGTGATGTACAACTCCCAAGAAATTTCAAAGCTGGATCCAAAATCCAGGAAATGTAAATTCTTGGGGTATGCTGATGGTGTAAAGGGGTATCGCTTGTGGGATCCCATTGCCCGCAAAGTGATCATCAGCAGGGATGTTATCTTTATAGAAGATAAACTACAAAGAAAAGAAGACGATGATAGCGCTAAAAAGTTAGAGACTACTTAGATACATGTGAAAAAAGAGTTTGAACAAGGAGATTCTTCTGAAGCAGAACCAACACATGATGAACAAAAACCAGAGTTCTAAAGCTCCAACAACTCGTCAATCAGATCTTGTGAGAAGACGTCCCAATTGGCACTTCGATTATGTTATAGAAGGAAATATTGCATACTGCCTTTTAACAAAGGACAGTGAGCCATCAACATACCAGGAGGCAATAAACATCTCAGATACTTCACTGTGGATGATGGCGATGCAAGAAGAAATTGAAGCCCTTCATAAAAATAATACATGGGACCTTGTGCCACTAACACAAGGAAGGAAGCCAATTGGTAACAAACGAGTCTTCAAAATTAAGCGAAATGGTGACGATCAAGTTGAGAGGTATCATGCAAGACGGGTGGTCAAAGGATATGCTCAAAAAGAAGGTATTGATTTCAATGAAATCTTTTCTCATGTGGTTTGACTAACAACAGTTCTATTAGTTTTGGAAATGTGTACTACATTGAACTTACATCTAGAGCAGCTAGATGTTAAAACAGCTTTTCTTCATGGAAATCTTGAAGAAGAGATTTACATGCTCCAGCCTGAAGGTTTTGAAGAAAAAGAAAAAAAGAACCTTGTTTGCAGGTTGAACAAATCTCTGTACGGTCTAACGCAGGCGCCGAGGTGTTGATATAAGATATTTGATTCCTTCATTATGTGCCTTGGATACAACAAACTTAATGCAGGCCTTTGTGCTTATTTCAAGAGGTCTGTTGATAACGATTTTGTTATATTGTTGTTGTATGTGGATGACATGTTGGTTGCAGGACCCAACAAAGATCATATTAAAGAATTGAAAGCACGACTGGCTAAATAATTTGAAATGAAGGACTTGGGATCAGCAAACAAGATTCTAGGGATGCAAATTCACTGAGACAGAAGTAATAGGAAGATTT